CCTCAAATGTGTTTTCTTTCAAATGCATCAACAAAATGACTCTAAATGTCTTTCAAATAAATCCAAACTGTTTTAAAAAAAATTATAAATGTTAAAATGAGCAAATGCATACAGTTTAAAACAGAAAAAATCATCTTTTATATTATAGAAATAAAACAATGCTTATATACTCAAACCTTTCATAAAACTTCTCAAAGTCTCAAATTGTCAGAAAAAGGAGGGTTTTATTTAAATGCATGAACAGATTGTTTAATTCTAACTACTTTTTTTATCATAAATATTAATGTTAAAATCAGCCAATGCTGACAGAGCATATTAAATGAACGCTAGCTCAGTAGTGCATGCGATCAAGTGTGAAGTGATAAAATATTGCTTAATATTTGAGTAAAAAAACCTTGAAAATAAAAATTATTTTATATTATATTAACAAAACAAAAATCATATGCACTGCAAATCTTTTTTTAAAAGGCAACTCGAGCATCCCAAATCCTCAAATGTGTTTTCTTTCAAATGCATCAACTAAATGACTCTAAAAGTCTTTCAAATAAATCCAAACTGTTTAAAAAAATTATTAATGTTAAAATCAGCAAATGCATACAGTTTAAAACAGAAAAAAACTTATCTTTTATATTATAGAAATAAAACAATGTAATGAATGAATAGAAATAAAACAATGTAATGCACTGCAAACCTTTCATAAAACTTCTCAAAGTCTCAAATTGTCAGAAAAATTAGGGTTTTGTTAAAAAGCATGAACAAAATGATTAATTCTAGCTACTTTTTTTTATCATAAATATTAATGTTAAAATCAGCCAATGCTTACAGAGCATAATAAATGAACGCTAGCTCAGTAGTGCATGCGATCAAGTGTAAAGTGATAAAATATTGCTTAATATTTGAGTAAAAAAAACTTGAAAATAAAAATGATTTCATATTATGTTAATAAAGCAATAATCATATGCACTGCAAATCTTTTTTTAAAAGGCAACTCGAGCATCTCAAATACTCAGAAAATGTGTTTTCTTTCAAATGCATCAACTAAATGACTAAAAGTGTTTGAAATAAATCCTAATTATTATATAAATATTTTTTTTATTAAATCATAAACAATTTAACAATCAGCCAGTGCATTTGTTATAATATGCAGCTCATTTGTGCTTGAGATCAAGTGCGGAGAGATGCGCGTCTGCGAGCGCCAGAGCCCGGTTTCGCTTGACTGCCGCCAGAGGTCAAAGGTCAGCGTTAGTTAATTAGAGGAGCTGTCTGGGGTCACAGAGGTCGATCCCAAGGGTCCGAGAGGCTTGTCGGCGGCACTTAATGCGAGCGTAATCTTCACCTTGTCAAAGCAAACAACTGTCGCAGCCTCTCCATTTAGCCTCCTGACTAGCGCTCTTGACCCCAGGTCATGACCTTTTTGTCTGACCCGGCGGGGAGTCAATGGAGCAGATCTTTAGGCACGCGTGGAGGTCAAGAGGTCAGACCACCTCAAACTGCCTTTTTTTTTCCTCTCCTGTGTGAAGTCGGACCTGAGATCTGCTTGAGACGCATGTTTAAATCAGGCCTAAACGCTGTGCATTTGTTTGTTTAAATGCGTGAGCTTTTGAAAACGCTGCTGTTTTAGGAGGAATTACCTTGAGGTTGGTTAGTTTTTCCCGAGGTTAAGGGAGAATCAAAACTCCTGCTGTCGGCTGTTTTCTTGCTGGCTTTCATTTGTCCAGCATTTCCTGTTGTGACAAACAGTGTGTGTGTGTGTGTGTGTGTGTGAATCCGGCGAGGAGAGTCAGGCCTCATACAGCGTATTTCCCCATGCTAACGCACTCTCACGCAGGCCATCTCGATGTGAAAGAATACAGGAGTCTGCTGCAAAGTATTCAATCTAGTTGGCATTTTATTTAATTTTTGATCTCTTTTTAGTTTTTAAGAGCATCTGATTGATATGTAAGCACATGCATGCATCAGAGACACAGTTAAAAGAAGCATCCCTCTCTAGAAAAGGCCAAAATGGCATTACCATGCATTGAAATAAATGCATAATAATTAATTAATATTAATACGTATTAATTGAACTTTTTAATTGATGATTTTTACAATTTTTTATTTTTTAATTATTTAATTTGTTTATTTTTTAATTTATTTTTTAATTTCTTAATTTATTTATTTTCAATTTTTTAATTTCTTAATTTTTTTATTTTTTTCACTTTTTTATTTTTAAAAATGTTTTAATATTAAATTTTTAATTGATGCATTGAATGTTTATTTTAATTTAGACCTCAATGCAAAGCAAAATCTACATTTTCATGCAGCATAACAATTGCATTTTAATTAATTAATAATAATAATAATAATAATAACAATAATAATAATAATGCATTTTATGTGTTATGCGCTTCTCTCAAACTCAAAGCGCTACAAAACAATAAAACAATTATACAAAAATCATAATTTCAATTTTGCTCCAGTTATTTAATGCCATTGTTATGCATATTAATTATGATTTATAAGCATTTGTTCCTTTTTATTTTTCAAATGACCATCGCAAAAAGCAAGAAGGAGCTGTTTGGCTTCATGCAGTCTCATCGAAGAAGCTAAAACATGCACTGCAACATCACTTCCTGGTAAACTTGCCACAAATAAACACACACAATTCCTCTTGAAAAATAGCTCAACACAGTGCAGTCTTTATTTACAGAGATCTTCTAAAAAGGCATCAGATCTAAATGAGCCGGCATCTACGAGATGGTGGCAGCCGCCATTTTGTGAAGTGTGTGAGCCCAGCAGCATATAAGCGCTAGCATTATAGCACTGTTTACTATTAACACACATGCAGCGCAGTAAATAGCTAACACTAAATGCACTTGTTCTTATTAGGCACACTGATTTCTTGAAATAGCGTTGATGAAAGCAAAGCTATTTAGACTTGGTGCTTGTCAAAAAAGACAGACATAAAGGCGGCGTTAAAGTAGAGGCAGGTAATAGTCGGATATTAAGGTTAGGGTTAACTCCTGCATGCATCACACATGGCTTGTTTTCAGCTGAATATCAAAGCATCCTAAAGGATGCAATCAGCAATCCGAAGGTAGAAATTAAATATAGGCGCGTGCGTTTTTATCTGCCCCCCGGAAACGCAGCCACCGATTGGTCCGGATCCGTGGCGAGATGTGACGTGGGAGGAAAAAGCGGCAGGGTCCCAATCTAACGCTGCAAAAATCAGGCCTGCACGAACATGGCTTTTTTCACTGAACCCTGGCTGTTAGTGACTACGACCAAGCGCCACGTTAGCTCAGCATTCACACTCTCTCAGACACAGAAAAAGACGCTGCTTTAGGAAAAAAAGCCCCACCTTCTGGAGTGCCACAAGTCCCCCTCAGTCCCCGCAGAGAAGTGTTGAGTAAGTCCGCAAGAGATTTACATTTTTTTTTCTTTTTGTTCGCAGTTGTGCAGGCTCTTTCTCTCTCATTAGTTTATCCGCCAGGAGGAAGGGAGAGAGAGCGCTGCAGAAAGAGAGAGAGAGAGAGGGGGGGAAAAAAGTTTGTGTGAGCGAGTCCGTCCGGCCGGCCTTGAGGGTTTTTTTTAAGAGGGAAACAGCCAAATGTAATGCTTTTGCTCTGATATTTATCACCTAGCACTCGCCGTGGTGTCGGACATTGGGAAAAGGGATATGATAGCATGGCATCTAACGTTTTTTTTTCCATTGCCAGCCTCGTTCTGTCACTGAGGGAGGGATTTAATGAACAGGGCAGATGGATGAGGGAGAGAGGGAGAGAGGGAAAGGGCACGTGAGGAGAGCTGAGTTGTAGGCAGGCGGAGTCTATGCGCTCTCCTGCTTCCTAAGTGGCTGGAAGCTCAGAGTTGTTGCTAAATCCAGAGCGGGGGCTCTGATTGGTTGGCTGTTTCTTTAAGCGGAGGCACTACTTTTATGTAGCAGAGCTTTCTTACTTGCTAACTAACTTTAACACTTGTTTGCTTGGTGCTTTCAGTTCCAAAAGGGTTTTAAAATATGCTTGCTTTTTAAAACAATCGCTCTGAATAAAAGTGGAAAGAGCAGGGTTAAGAATTTTGGGTCACACTTTACAAAAAGGTTTTGTTAGTTTGTGTATTTACTGATATTAATTAATCCTGAACGATACTTTTATTTATTAACCATTGTTCAACATTTACTAATGCATTATTAACATCCTTGCAAACATTAGTTAATGCATCGTGAACTAGTTATAGCATTAACATTACAAAGATGAGATATACTGTAAAACTTGCAATAACTAATATTGTCATGTGTTACCAAAGTTTCAATATAGTCTCCATTACAACACTCGTATTAGCTAAATAAGTTAGCCTGCATGTTTGTTAAATGCCAAAGACCTTATAGTCTCAAACTGATGGGTTGTTTTAGGCCCAAATTAGGTCAAATATAGATGAACAATGCTAAATATTTTAAAAGAAATTGATGGATGCATCTTGGAAGTATTTAAAAAGAAACAAACCCTGATGCACAGTTGAAGTCAGAATTATTAGCCCCCCTGAATTATTAGCACCCCTGTTTATTTTTTCCCCAATTTCTGTTTAACGAAGAGAAGATTATTTCAGCACATTTCTAATCATAATAGTTTTAATGTCTCATCTCTGATAACTGATTTATTTTATCTTTGTCATGATGACAGTAAATAATATTAGACTAGATATTCTTCAAGACACTTCTATACAGCTTAAAGTGACATTTAAAGGCTTCACTGGGTTAATCAGGATAACTAGACAGGTTAGGGTAATTAGGCAAGTTATTGTATAATGATGGTTTGTTCTTTAGACTATCAGGAAAAAAAATAGCTTAAAGGGGCTAATAATATTGTCCTTAAAATGGCATTTAAAAAATTAACAACTGCTTTTATTCTAGCCGAAATAAAACAAATAAGGCTTTCTCCAGAAGAACAAATATTATCAGACATACTGTGAAAATTTCCTTGAGCTTTTAAATATCATTTGGGAAATATTCAAAAAAGAAAATAAAAATCAAAGGGGGTCTTATAATTCTGACTTCAACTGTGGGTACTTTAACACATTGTATGTGGTCACTGCAAAGGTTTTGGTCCTTGGCGCTGGGGGAAATGAAAAAAAGATCATGCCGTTGGATTTTAACCCAGTTTCATTGATTTTGGGTATTCCTAATGGATGCATTTTTTTATCAGCTAATAAGAAATTGTATAAAATATTAACATTTGCTGCCAGAAAAAAATAATTTACTTAATTGCATTGGATTAGTGATAAATCTCCATCACTTAAAGGTTGGCACTAGATCATTAATTCCTCTAGAACATCTCACTCATGTTTTACACAAAAAACTGAACATTTTTTCAAAGTTTGGACTCCATATTTGAAGTATTACTGGTCTTTGCCCTATTATGCTAAAATAAATATTGACACTGTATTGTTATCTGGAAAATAAGCATTGTTATTGTCCTTTTTTCTGATCTGTTCATTGTGTAGTCCTGTTTTATGTGTAATCTTTCTTTTCTCTACATTGTTTTCTGTTGTTATTTTTCTTTGCGTATCTTGTGAAGATGTTTTTGTTAAGTCTGTATTGTTGTGAAAATCCAATAAGCATATTTCTATAAAGCAGAAAGAGGTTTGTTCGTCCACATTTGACTCAAATTCAGGTTGAAGCAACTCAACATATTTGTTTAGAGTGTAAGATGTGATTAAAACATCCGTTTGTTGTTTTGTCTTTTGTAGAGATTTTATTTGTGTACATTTTACATTTGATTTAACTGGTCATGTTTAAGATGCAGGAAATGCACATTTTAAAAAAAACCAAAAAAAAAGGAATAGTAGGATGAAAAACAAAACTCCAACGCCATCATTTACCAATGAAACTGAAGTGTTTTACTGCAGAATGTGTTGTTTTTCTTGCAGATGGTTATTTATATCATTTCTGTTAGTCTGTACGGCTAATGCATGATATTCTTTTTGCTCAAATAGTCTTTGTCTAACGAAAATCCTCGCTTTTTTTCATATTCACACGCAGACTTCTAAATGACCATGTTGTGTGGGAATACACATGCACCGCCGCCATTTTGGCTCCAACAACATCGACACGCCATTTACTCTTCGAGTTCTCTGTGGTGTTTGTTTGACTTTAAGGAGTTGCATAAAGAATATTGTGTTCGGCGAAAAGCAGCGGTCAGGAAACTGGAACAAAACCCAGCCGAGAGCTTGAACTGTACCTTTAAAGCAAACAAACTAACGCTTGAGGGAAGGCTTTGACCTACAAATGAATCTCGTGTTGTTTAGTTTGAAGTGTAGACTTTACTGTCTCGCATACTTGTTTAGCAGAGAGTTCTGCTGCAGTTCCACTCGTTCTTTCTTTCTTTCTTTTTTCTGTTGGGATTATCCGAGAGAGAGTGTGTGTGTGTGTGAGAAAACACACTGAGTCTGCGCGCTGGGGGAGGAGTATCTATGTCACACTCCTCTCTCTCTCTCTCTCTCTCTCTCTCTTTTTCTCCTCCCGCTCTGGACTTGCTGTTTTTCCGCCCTCCTACTTCTCTCTCTCTCTCTTTATTTGTCTCTCTCTCTCTCTCTCTCTCTCAAGTGCAAGGCCATGTGGGACGTCTGATGAGGAGTTTCACCCCTCTACGTCTCCAGTTTCATATCTCTCTTTCCCTCTCCAGCGCTCTTTCGCTTTCCGTACGGCTTCCTCCAGCTCCTGTTGTCTTTGGACTGTACGTAAGGTGGAGACCCGCCGGATAGTAGTTTTTAAAGGGAAAACAGACTAAAGAAATGTTTCAAAATTTGCCACGAGGGCCTCCCGACTACAAACCTGCCAAAAGCGCTTCAGTCCTCCAGCACATTTCTGCTCCTCGTGCACCCGATTGCAGACTTTTAGCAGTCTGCAGTTGATTCCGCGCCGTATTTTCCGATTTCGGTGAATTTCCAGCGAATCCAGGTTCATTTACAGCCCACGCCGGCGCACCGCCAGGCCCGAATCGCTTTGGAAGTACCGACCAGCGACTTACCCGTTCCCGATCCTGTCGGACAGAGGGATTCAGGCGTGAAGCTTCTCCCTCCAGGACAGGTGGTGCCTGCTTATAAACGGTGACCCCAGAAAAACGATGAAGCATGGATAGCTGCGTCTGTATTGCAGGAAAAAAAGTCAAGACACTGTAAAAGAGGAGGCGGAGGTGGGGGCCGCTTATTCTCCCCGCTCGATGCTTTTCGGGCCTTTGAGAGCCGATCGCATGTGCTGTGGAAACCACAGGACTATTTGCATGCAGCAGACACGCTAATTGTGTGTTTGCTAACATGCACCATTCAGCAAGACGTGCTTCGGTCTGCAGACGGGGTTCACACACGCCTCCCAGACGCCCCAGAGGCCTCCTATTGTTCCAGAGGCCCAGCCGAGCAGCCGGCGAGCCGACCCGGAGAGGGGGAACTGGAATTCGAGAGCGGGATAGCGGAACGGGACGGGAGCTGCAGACTCTGTCTGTGTCTTTCTGTCCACGGCAAGAAATCGAGGCCTGTGGAAATGTCCGGACGCTCACTGCCTCGCAGACATGTGTAAGTCAGAGCAGCGTGCATGTGTGTGTGTGTGTGTGTGTGAATTCATGCTTTTTCCCTTCTGTGGTGCGCAGATTGTTTCACACAATAAAACGCGCTGATAAAAGTGAGGAATGTTGGTGCATTTGCGTATTTAATGCATGTAAAGCGCGCTGCTACACACACAAGTTGTGTGTAAAATATTTGTGCATTTGCAATTTTATTGCTGTTCAGATTTAGGATTGCTCGATTCTGTTTAGTATAATTTGCGCACCGCGTTAATTTTAAAAGTGTATATTTCTGACTGAAATAACGAAGCATAGTTATGCTAGTACTTTTCAACAGTGTTGAATAAAATATTTAGGTTTTGCATTAAATATTTTAACTTTTTGTTAAACACAACCTATCAAAAGAGGTGTTTATCAGTATTTATATTTGGGTCGAATGTTTGCGTTTTCTTCTGAATTATAATCGGGAGCAAAAGGCCTGGCTTCACTCTTTATATTTGGTCTCAATTGAATTACAGACTTGGCGAGAGCAGAAATGCTGGGCCTTTGACCAGCCGTACTGTGATTTTTATTTATTGCCATTCTTTATTTCATACTTCATCATGAACATTTTTATTGCCGTTATATAGCGATTCGTGCATTGTTAGCCGCCTTTTGACCAAACGTATTTACTCCCAAGGAATGCACATGTGGAGAAATGTTTGCATAATGCATTTAAAAGTTAAATATGTGCATAATAATTATGCATTAGTAAGCTAGCTATTATCGGGAGATTTGCTTTTAAAACAGCTATTAGGTTTAAGAGAAAAAAGCGGCATCCATAAATCAAAAATAAGCATGCTTTAGGATTATTACTTTAAAAAAAGGTATAATAATAATATGATTAATAATAATATAAATGCATTAACTAAGTATTTGTTTAAATAAATTGAGCGTTTGTTTACTATCAGTATTTTTTGCACAATTCCGACTTGTATATCTAGTGAAGGCTTGTTTTATTTCTTCTTCGTAATCATCAGATGATGGCTGTTTGATGTTCTGTTGTGATGTTTATGTGGTCTAGATGAATGCCTTCCAGTCAAATCCTCCTGCTATAACCGTCACTGTGGGTGTGGAATTATTCAATTGGGTTCCCAGATTGTGGCCTAATATGTGTGTGTGTGTGTGTGTGTGATTTGTACCTGCAGTTCTGATTGAATTTGCTGACTTAGCGACTTTACCGTGTTCAGAAAGAACTGCCAAGGAACTTCTTCAAGTGTAGAGCCATTTTAAACGGTGTAATTGTGAAAAGTGTGCACTCGCAGTTATGGAAATCTGCAAAGAGAAAACACAGTTGAAGTTTGGAATAGTCTAAATATTTGCATTATGATTGCTTGGGATAAGACACACACACACACACACACACACAGTAGGAAAAAATTTAAATATATATATGTATATATATATATATATATATTTATTATGTCAGAAATTTGGCAGTCCGTTTTAAATTGAATTTTAGGATAGTTAAAATATTTACAGACTCGATCACTCACACACACACACACATACACACACACTCAGACGGTGTGTGTGCAGTGAGGGGGTCTCATTCCTCAGTAGTTTAGGCCTCAGTGTGTGTGTGTGTGTGTGTGTGTGTGTGTGTGTGTGTGTGTGTGTGTGTGTATGTGTGAAGTTCAATTCCACCATTTTGATTCAGTGTGTGAATTGAGCTTTATACTTTTTGTCAAAGTGGATTTATAAATACATCCTGTTTAGAGATAACATGAAACACACACAGACTACATTTCACTGTGTATTAAGACAGTACTTGACAGTACTAAATGTATATTGGCTAAAACTCACACACACACTCACACAAAAATGCTTTTTTTTAACCTTTAAAACATTTTCTTTGCATAATTTTTGTGCATATTGTTAATTGGTATTTTTTTACTGTACACTCACACACTTGTACGCGTGCATTTGAATGAAAGTAATCAATAAAAGGATTTTTTATTCAATTAAAAAGTGTTTCATTTAGTGTTTAGAGTCATTATGATCAGCATTAATTAAAATTAAAATAATTTTAGGGTAAAAATAAATCTGTGTGTCGTGTATTGTCGTGTGTATGCGTGCGCATGCAGTCAAAAAAGGATTTTTAATGTTTTAAATGTCAAACTAAAGTAAAATAAAAAATCAACTGAGCAAAATTGCAGTTCTTTGCAGAGTATTGTGTGAATATTTGTGTTCATGATTGTACTATAAGAGTCAATGTATGATTGTGTGTGTGTGTTGTTCAACATTAGCCAGTTTTCTCCTGAAATAACAGTGCAGATTTGTTAATATTTCACTGATTTTATTGTGCATTGTCAGATATCTATTTGATGATTTGTTTTTGGTTTGATACATGAAGAGTTTAAATGCCAAAACCTCTAAATGCCGTCTGAAATTTTCCTCTAAAATGAGCATTTTTATCAGGCTCCTGTGTGTGTGTGTTCAGTAACATCACTTTTATGGCAGAGATTAAGTAGTTTACCTGGTCTTTAAAGTGAAATATCTCAACATAAACAAAGGAGGCCGAAAAAAATGATAATTTTCAATGGAAAATTCAGACGGCACTTAATCTGAACTCATATTTGTATTTCTTTAATACACTGTAAACCCTAATGTTGTCTTTACTTAAATACGTAAAGTTGACTGAATATAACTTAACATTTTGCAATTTGGCCCTATCACGTAAAAATATGAGTTAATTTAACGTATATACCTTGAAAATGCATAAACTTAAGATTTCAAGTTTAGTAAACTCAAAATCATAATTAATCCTTTGAAAAAAATAGGTCATTTTCACAAATGTAGTATTGACTGTAAAATTCTAATATGTGCTACCTTTTAAGAGCAAGGTCTTTTTTTAATCAGAAAACAAATGGCAGGTATAATTATTCATCATAATGTGAATAAATGGCTACTTATTTTTTGTGTTGAATTTATTTAAACATTTTTTCATAGTATATTTTTACACTAGTTTATTTAACTTAGTACTAAGTTTGGTGAACGTAACAATTTAAGTATAGTCTACTAAACCGGCAAGTTAAATAAACCTAAATATGCCAGTTTTGGGTGACTCCATTACTCAATTAAATTGAAGCAACGACTTTACTCAATTAATTTAGTTCAGTCAATTTATTAGGGTTTTCAGTGTATATTTGCAAATTTTAATTGTATTTCTTCGTTCTTCATCTCTCTTATGTCTAGAATCCGAACTTTTCCTAAGTTCAGCACGACGTTATGATAGTTTGTGCTAGCTGACAGGTTTATAGGGTCATTTACTTTAAATAATCCTGTGCAAAGTTTGTTGCATGTATGTTAGAGATTTAAACATCTTTCCGTGCTTTTGTATTTTGCATAAAGACAGAAGAAAAGCTGAAATAAGGCGTCCATGTGCATGTGTAAGAGTCTTAATGTATGATTAAAATGCATATTTACGTTCCCGGAATTTATGTTTACGAGTCGCACATGCTAAACTCTTAATATGTTTGGATTACAGTTGTTTAATATATAAAATATCCTCGTTTTAGACAAACGCTGTATGTAGCGCATTTAAAGCATGTTGGTGAAATGTTTTAATGACCAAAAGAACATAAGTCTTCTCACATAGGAACTTGTTTTAGATTTTATAATTGGTAGTGCTATAAACCTGTTTTTTATATATGTTATGATACATAATGTTTAGTTTGAGACTTTTTATGTATTTTGTTCATAAATGCACTTTATTGCGACGCATTAGAAACCTTTTGGTGTTTTTCCAACAGTAGTATTTGCAAATTTGCTAAATTCATAGGATGAATTTGATTAATATTGGTTTTATTTTTGATAATCATCAGCTGTAATCATTAAATAATTCACATTTTAATGATCTTTAATGAATAGATCTCTGCTGCAGTGAGCTAATAAGTTTACACAAGTTTCTATAAATGTATAGCAAGATGTTTATGAACAGCAGGATTTACTTATAGTTGAATTCAGAATTATTCGCCCCCTTTGAATTTCTTTTTCAAATATTTCTCAAATGATGTTTAACAGGGCAATTTTCACAGTATGTCTGATAATATTTTTTCTTGTGGAGAAAGTCTTGTTTGTTTTATTTCGGCTAGATTAGAAGCAATTTTGAATGTTTTAAGAACTATTTTCAGGACACAATTATTAACCCCTTTAAGCTATATTTTTTTCGATAGTCTACAGAACAAACTATCATTCTCTGTTAAACAGAAAATGTGGGAAAAAAATAAACGGGGGCTGATAATTCTGACTTCAACTGTATTTTATAAAATAAATGATGTGTACTTAAATGCATTGTTAATGGAAGTGAAACTTCACAAACACAGCAGTAATTGAAATATAACATAAACAAATATATATTTTTAACCAAATGATATTTGTAATAACACATTTGTATTTGTTTTTCCTTTGGCAGAAGTGAAGATGAAATGGACAAACCAAGATGCATCTGTGCACAGGTCAGTACAGATAATATATATATATTTTTTTAATAGTACATTTATGTGAAATAATAATAAAAACTAAGACAAATTATTTTGCATTACAAGCTGTCACTTCACATTTATTGTTTTGATGGTCTGACCTCTGAAGTTCAACAATACTTTGAATACTTAGTTTTTTTTAAACATAATTTATTTTATGTTACATAAAATGGACTTTATTACATTTTACCCTGATGGTAAATGTGTAATGTGTTTTGATTTTAATTCACCTGATAGTGGCACCATCTAGAGTCCAGGCCTGATATTACTGCAGGGTCAAGATCACCATCCCATAAACACCAAGCAATGTAGGCATTATTCAATTAGTTACACTACTTATGGATTTGCCACCAAAGAACTAAAGTATTTGTTTTATATAACAATTTGGCCTGAGTAAATTATATTAGTCGAGTTCGAAAGAGTAAAACACTATAAACAAAAGCTTTCTATGACATGTTGTTTGACCACTAAAAAGAAAACATCTAAGGATGTTAATTTGCATTTGAACACATTTTTAAAGGCCCTTTTTCTCAATTTTGTTATTACAGAAAGGCACCAAACTTAATGGTTTTATTAATGTCTGTGCTGTGAAGGATTTTACTGTGGGGTTTGTTCATATTCATATTCATTTCTCTGGTTTGATTTCTGAAAATGGCACATTCAGGCCTTTTTTTACTTATCAGTATTGATTAAAAAGAGAAATAAACAATCCCTTTGGTAACAATCTTTATCTCTGACATACCAATAGAGTAATAAAAAATATTAAACCTGGATTCATACAGTGTTCAGGTCTATTTTTTGGAGTAGACGCAAAATGTATTAAAGCTCAAAGTGAATGAGTTATACTTTATCTATAGCTTTCACTTACAATACTCATTTTTAATGAGTTTTTCTCCAGTTTGGTATTATAGAAATGAACTAAACTTAATAGTTTTATTCATGTCTGTGTTGTGAAGGTTTTTACTGAAGGGTTTGTTCACATTTAATTTGCCTGGTTTTCTGCAACATTTTATTCTTTAAAAACATGGCGAAAACTGCATTCTGAACACTTTTTCACTTATCAGTCTTAGTTAAAAAGAGATATCAAAAATCCTGCTGGTAAAAACCTTTAACTCTTTCTAGATTTCACATCGTTCAAGGTCATTTAACCTGGATTTATACACCGCTCAGATAATTTTCCTGGAATATATGCAAATTGTGTTCATTTATAAATCATTCACTTTGTGCTTTTATCCAGATTTCACTCACAATACACATTTTTAATAAGTTTTTTCTATATTTTGGTATTATAGAAATAAACTAAACCTAAAAGTTTTACTGAAGGGTTTGTTCAAATTTAATTTGCCTGGTTTTCAACTGCATTTTACTCTTTAAAAACATGGGGAAAACTGCATTTGACCACTTTTTCACTTATCAGTCTTAATTAAAAAGAGATATCAAAAATCATGCTGGTAAAAACCTTTAGCTCTTTCTAGATTTCACATCTTTCAAGGCCATTCAACCTGTATTTATACACCGTTCAGATTGTTTTCCTGGAATTTATGCAAATTGTGTTCATTTATAACTCATTCGCCGTGCACTTTACCTAGACTTCACTTACAATGATTTTTTTAGCCATATTTCTTGAGTTTTAATTTCCATTTTGGTATTACAGAAATAAACTAAACCTAATAGTTTTGATAATGTCTTTGCTGTGAAGGTTTTTACTGAGGGCTTTGTTCATAATTAATTTGCCTGGTTTTCAAAAATTCACATTCAGACCATTTTTCACGATTGATTATTTAAAAATATCAAAATATTTTGAGTTATATCTCATTCGCTTTGTGCTTTTATCCGGGTTTCACTCACAATAGACATTTTTAATGAGTTTTTTCTCCATTTTGGTATTATAGAAATGAACTAGACTTAATAGTTTTATTCATGTCTGTGTTGTGAAGGTTTTTACTGAAGGTTTAGTTCACATTTAATTTGCCTGGTTTTCTACAACATTTTATTCCTAAAAACACAACAAAAATTCTTATTTTGAACACCTTTTCTTATATAACCACTAATTAAAAAGAGATATCAAAAATCCCTTCGGTATAAATCTTTAATTCTAACGTGTCTATAAAGTGATACACAAAAATTGAACCTGGCTTTATGCAGTGCTCAGATCTATTTTCAGGAACATACACAAATTACATTCAATTATAACTAATTGTCTCTTTTGACAGTAAGAAGTTCTGATATTTGTAATTAATTACATCTGAAATGTAATTAACGAATTTGGGAAGCATATTGTCTCGCTTTGACATCTTCTAATAGATGTACATATACAGGATTAGTCCTGATTGTGTGGTTTTAGTCTTAAATTGTTCGACCACAAGTCATGACAAAGCTGTATATGCTGTCAGGACTTTGTGTGATTTTTATTTATTTACTTTTTTAGTGTGTGTGTGAGATTCTTTTGTACTTTTATTGAGGTTTTCATTTTTTAATAATGCCTTTCATCCTCCTGAGTGGAGAGATGTATCTGGCTGAACTAGTTCAAAGACAGCGGGATGTTTTACCACTCCTAGCAAAGCGTCTTAAAACTTAAATACAAATCAGTTTGATTGCCTTATATCTGCCAAGACTAAAACTTAATAGGGTTGCCATGATTTTGCATTCAGTTTGAATTATATTTTATAAGTTTCTTGTGGTCTTTTGCAAGTTTCACAAACAATAACAAAAGAAATTAAACAATAAAAATTGTATTTATATAATATTAATAATTAATATACACAGTACACAAACTTTTATGGATTTAATCATTACTTGGGTTTAATCACTGCTCAGGACTACCTATTTATTTCAATCTACACTATTTCAAAATATTAAAAGAAAATAATTTGTTCAGATCTGGCATTTTTAAGATTCAAAAATAATTACAAAGAAATGAAACAGAATTTTGAAGTAAATGAAAACGTAAAACGTGTTTAAAAACACACACATACTGCACTAAACTACTAAACTATACAAATTTAAAAATGTTTAAAAATATATGATGTAAATAATACAATTTGTATCACACACATACAGTTGAAGTCAGAATTATTAGCCCCCCTTTCAATTTCTTTTACTATTTTAAATATTTCCCAAATTAAGTTTAACAGAGCAAGGAAATGTTCACAGTATGTCTGATAATATTTTTTCTTCTTGAGAAAGTCTTATTTGTTTTATTTCAGCTAGAATAAAATCAGTTTTTAATTTTTTAAAAGCCATTTTAAGCTCAATATTATTATTTAAGCTATTTTTTTGATAGTCTACAGAACAAACCACTGTTTGACAATAACCTGCCTAATTACCCTAACATGCCTAGTTACCCTAATTACCCTAGTTAAGCCATTAAATGTCACTTTAAGCTGTATAGAAGTGTCTTGAAGAATATCTAGTATGAGTAAAATATGAGTTATTAAAACTATTATGTTCAGATATGTGTTGAAAAAATCTTCTCTCCGTTAAAAAGAAATTGGGGGGGAAGATAAACAGATGGCTAATAATTCAAGGGGGTTAATAATTCTGACTTCAACTGTATATCCAAATATAAATAAATATTTTGATATATGCCAGCATGTGCACATTTATATATAGATAATAAATATAAACAGTACACACATGTAAAATGTTGATAAAATATTGTATTTTGAATGTGATTAATCATTGCTCTAAAAGCTAACTATTTCAGTATGCAACATTTAAAAATATAAAAAATATAACAAATAATTACAAATAAATTCATAATGTTGAAGAAAAAAATTAATTTCAAATAAAAAATAATGAGATTTTATTTAATTTTATCGCACTATTATGTTTTTTTTCATTATCTTATAACCTATTTTAACACATTTTTATCTATTTTTTTCCTTATTTTTATAATTCTTATTATTTGTTTTGTATTTTCTCACACTTGACTCTTTTATTCTTGTTTATGTAAAGCACTTTGAATTGCCACTGTGTATGAAATGTGCTATATTAGTAAACTTGCCTTGCCTTAAATTTAGCACCTTTTCAAACAATCTTCATGTAAATCTTTGAAATAACTTTTGTACAATGCAGTCATTGATAAACCACTAAATTTCTAAGTTGTTTTAAAATCGACAACTTTGGACAGAAGAATAATGAGTGTGTAGACGAAGAAAGAAATAACAGCATTCTTTCTTATTTAATGGCTTGATTGTTGCCGACTGACTGCATGTAAATAAGCGCCTTCACAGCATCTTTCAGCCCTTCTCAGAGTCCTGACCTTGGACTTGAGCCATAAACGTATTTTTTTCAGCGTTGGCAAGGATCTATAGCAGCATTGTGACCTCTCTCACCACCTTTACCAGCCCAAATCCTTCCTCGTTTGGCTAGTGCTGTGAAATATATAGTGTACTCTTCAGGAAAATAGCTTGTTGATAAGACACAATTGCATTATTTAGAGAAAAATTGTTGTTTTAAAAAGTAGCAACGGTACTAATTTGACTACATTTCAACTAAGATTGATTATATTAATGCATCTTAGTGGTTTTAAATGCTAAAACTTGTTAATCGAGTAATTAAAACGATAATCAAACATGCTTTTATGCAAATGATCTGGAATGTTAAACGACGAAAAGTCTGATAATTGTTTTAATGAATCTTTTTTTATGATTTGAACCTTTTTTATGCGCAAATAACAGATGAATATCAAATACAGAATATTAGCTTATAAACAAAAGCATAAAAATGAAAATAATAGCAGCATATAAATTTGTATGCATATAAAATAGTAAATGCAAATGATGTGAACGTGAAGTGAATCACTTTTATTCACACAATTCTCACAGATGACACTAAACCAAATCACTTTTTTATGATTTGAACTTTTATTGATTTTCTTATTTGCAAATAACACAGATGGACATCATATACTGAACATTAGCTTATAAACATTAAAAGTAAAATAATAATAAATATGCATGATATATAAGAAA